AGGGTAGATTTTTCTAAATGAGTTAGCGACCACCAATCCCTTAATTGATGGATGACTTTCCAAAAGACTGCTCTTTCACTCACTAGCAGAGAGGGATCTATATTATTCTATTAATATGATTATTTCTTATTGTAGAATAGGAAACAGTTCAATCATCTACTTCTTACTGAGGAAGCATTGATCTTCATGTTAAGTGTTTTTGCTCCTTTCATTAGTTGGTATAATGTGATAGAAAGGATGGCTATAGTGTTTACTGTTTATGCCTTTATGCAGCAGAGAATGTCTAGTTAAGTGGTCTCCACCCCTTGTGATTGTCATGCAACTATAATATTAGCAATTTTCTCCAGTTGTGCTTCCTAACAGCATCCTTCTAACTTTCATGTCATTATCTTAATGTGAAGTGGGTTCATCTCAGTGAATACTTTTTTTTAATGCATTTGTTAATGATTACGCAGTTGTACCTTCGTATTTGTCATTCAAAGTGTTATGTTTCTAGCTCAATGTGAAGAGATTCATTCATTTGAATTAAGATTTTTTTTTTTTTTTTGGTTTGCCAGAGGGAGAAGGTTGAGCAGCTGCTACTTGAACCGAGTACAAGTCATCCCATCATTTGCGACAACCTCAAAAAGATATATCCTGCAAGGGATGGAAATCCTGAGAAATTTGCAGTGAGAGGGTTATCTCTTGCTTTGCCTAGAGGGGAGTGCTTTGGCATGCTGGGACCCAATGGTGCTGGAAAGACTTCTTTAATTAATATGGTAGTGTATGATTGTTTTATTAAAAAATATAACTCTTTTATGCACAAATCTGCGCACAGACTCACATGCATGTTCTGTAATGTGAGGGACTGAAAATGAAGTCTTCCGTGTTAGAATCTAGTTTGTTTCCCCAATAGTATTTTAGCCATTTTTCTATATGGGGTTATTGCTGTCTAATAAAATAGTGATATTGACTTGTTGACCTGGTATTACGCCTGCCTTTATCTTTTAAAGCTAGAACGAGATTTACCCGGTACCTTCTATGCAATATTTATGTGTTATTCTGTTGACAGATGATTGGGCTCACAAAACCAACCTCAGGGACAGCATATGTTCAGGGTTTGGACATACTGAATTATATGGATACAATCTATACAAGCATGGGTGTCTGCCCACAGCATGAGTAGGATATAATCACTTATTTTTTCCAAGAAAGAAATTATTTCCATGTGAAAAGATTTCTAATTTTTTTTGTTATTTGTAAATTAGCCTTCTCTGGGAAACCCTAACCGGGAGGGAGCACTTGCTATTTTATGGCAGACTGAAGAACCTCAGAGGTTTTGCATTAAATCAAGTAAGTCAAAATTATCTATGTTTTGAGCTTGTTGTGGATTTGACTTGGAGAAACTGATGCTCATGAATTTACTTCATTTATAAAGTCTAGGGGCTCTTCTATTTCAATTACAAAGTCCAGGCGCTCTTCTATTAGAACTTCATTTCATCTTTTCCAATATTTAAATGTCAAGGGTGGACCTTGTTAAATCTGAAACTGGCTAGCAATCTGTTCTGTACTGAAACTTGAATGCACAGCTGAAGTTTGTCCAGGACCTAAATCAAGGTTGATGGGGGGCAATGTAGTTTTAGTGTCATAATCACATAAAAGGTTTCAATTTTTTCCTCATTTCCATGCCCTTGCTTCAGGCAGTGGAAGAATCTCTTAAGAGTGTCAACCTATTTCACGGAGGGGTTGCTGACAAACAAGCTGGAAAATATAGTGGAGGTATGAAGAGGAGGCTCAGTGTTGCCATTTCACTGATTGGGGATCCTAAGGTAAGAGTTAACCTTGACTTGTATTCACTCTACTTTTCTATGTGAGACCTTCTTTAACTTATATCCTGCGGTGCTGTTTATGGCTTAATCATTTGAGATTTTGCAAGGTTGTCTATATGGATGAACCCAGTACCGGACTAGATCCAGCTTCAAGAAATAGTTTGTGGAGTGTTGTGAAACGTGCAAAACAAGACAGGGCAATTATTCTCACCAGTATCTCTCTCGCTCTCTTTCTTTCTCTTTGCATAATTGAATTTGCATGTTGTGCTCTCCTTTTTGCACTTTTACATAAAAAGAAGAAAATGGTGCGTGTAAAATTATTGTCCATAGAAGGTGAGAACTTTTGGCCCTTATATACTAACAAATATTATCTGAATGTTTTCAGCGCATTCAATGGAAGAGGCAGAGGTGCTATGTGATCGATTAGGGATTTTTGTAGATGGCAGCTTGCAGTGCATAGGAAATCCTAAAGAGGTAAGTTAGCCATAATAGATCTTATTTTCTCAATTTCATGAACTTACATTCCACTACATCCAATAGTAGATTCATGTGCATCTTTTTACATGGTGGCATCTTACAGACCCTAACCATAGACCAGTGTTCATGAATTAAACTCTTCTTTAAGGAATTTTATTCTATTTTCTTTATGATATCTATCTTCAATCTTCTATCTTTTCAATTTAAAAAAAATTGGGATGGAATGTTTGCATTACTGCATTATCCTCGCATGCTTGATTGCTTGTGTATGGGAGGTAAAGAATATGTTGGTTATGTTATTCCAAAAGGTAGGGGGAGGGCGCTAAATTTTCTGTATGGTGTGTAAACATGCACCATAGCCCTTAACCTTTGAAATAATATGCCATCCTCCCTTTCGCCAAGTTTTCACCAAAATCAACTTTATATTTGAGGTCGTCTTTCTTATTCCTGTTTTCTTGCATGATTTCAATCAAATTTATTCTTAGTATACTATTTCTTTGGCTGTTTCAAGTTGGAAAGCTTTGTTAATACATGATTGGTCTAAATTGTTTTTACATTAAACTTGCTGTTCATATGGTGACTGACAGCTAAAGGCCAGATATGGAGGATCTTATATATTTACCATGACAACTTCTTCCAATCATGAGGAAGAAGTTGAGAACATGGTACGACGTCTCTCTCCAAGTGCTAGCAAGATATACCAAATTTCGGGAACTCAGAAGTTTGAGATGCCAAAGCAAGAAGTGAGAATTGCAGATGTATTCCAAGCAGTTGAGAATGCAAAGAGCAGGTTTACAGTTTTTGCATGGGGTTTGGCTGACACCACTCTTGAGGATGTCTTCATCAAGGTTGCTCGTGGGGCGCAGGCAGTCAATATATTATCATGATTCTCCGACATCTTCCTCTTATATATAGAAAATTTTCATGCATGTACGATAGTCATTTTTACTTCTAATAGCACTGATTACTCTGCAGGTAGTAAGTAGTTCATACTGTTTTAAACATTTAATTTTGAAAACTATATATGTTGCTACTATTCGTTACTACATTTTTTTTTTGGTCATAGATATATATACTTTGTAAATGAACCCCAAAGGATTCTCTGCTGATTCACTGGCTGGAATTGCCAGAACCTTTTGTTCCCATAGATGTATGGTTATATTCATTTAGATAATGCTTACACAATATAATGTTTCGGGGATCTTAATTTATACCGACATTGGCATTGCATTGAATTGAATTGAAATGAAACGCCATTTTATAAAGCTAGTTGAATTTCAGCCTTGACAGCTTCTAAATCCTTTTACTTTCAAGTCAAAATATTTTTACCTGTCCCACATAAAGGCTAGAATATCTGTGTGTCATTAGCGGGATTTTTACTTAGCAATGTCTTGAATAATTAAGAATTCAATCTATTCAATTCTCTTGGATTTCTTAATTTTAAGGCTTACCTTAGTCAAAGTGTTGAATTCTCTCTTTGCACTAACTATCAATAACTGCCTATGTTCATCACTTTGCCACATTTTCTCTAGCAAGGTTGATTACCATCGAGTTCCAGCTAACTTGGACACTCTGGACCGTTGTGAGTTGGATTTGGTCCACAAAGAAAGTTTCTTTGTTTCTTTTAAGCTAACTCGCATGATTTTGGGGCCTTCATTTATTATCTTTGGATTAATCAAATCTCAACTCAATTAGCTGAATTGGACTAATATTCCAATGATACTAGGCTTCGCATAGTTTTAGGCTCTATTTAATTAATTAGTCTCTAATTAATCTGATTATTGACCCAATACACATCAATTGCTCTGATTGGGTGACTTAATTACTTATTTATGGGCGACGCCCCTGGGCTCGTTTTATGGATTAGTTTGAGTGTTCACACATGTAAAGTTTGTTCCACATGCATTAATTAATATATCGCATGTTAATTAAAATAACATTTATTATTTTAATGTAAAGTTAAAACCTAAAAAATTTCAATGTAAACTTTAATTATTTTTATTTATCAAATAAATTTATTTAATGAAAGTCTTTCCATAGAAGTAGAATATCCATGATTTATATATATTATAGAATAATTTCTTTATTTTTTAAAATAATTATATCAATTAATTGAACTAAATTTCGATTTTGCCACTAGTCAAATTTAAGAAGGGTGGGCTTGAGAATTATTAATGTTGAAGAAAAGCTCAGGATTTGGGGGGAAAAAACTCAGGCAAGAGTGTGAGAATGAAAACTGTAGCGGAGAGGATCCTCTCCCCAATTAGACAAGTTTGAAGGGAATTATGGTTACTAACATAACTACATAAGATAAGATTTGTCAAGTTAAATTAATTAGAATCTGAATTAATCTTAATCCAGATATCTGACAGAAAACCATTCAAAATATGAAATATTCAAATCTCTCTCTATCCCAAATTCAAAATCATATTCGGGGAAAATTCATAACTTCTGGTTTCTTGTTTAGTTTTTCAGGGTCTTTGCCCTCCACTGTACCCCCCCCCCCCCAAAAAAAAAAAAAAAAAAAAAACTTTTCGTAGCTTGGTTGATGTATGGAACATGGACACTGACATATACAATTCCATGATTTGCCAAAAGTTCATTACTGCTAACATTATGAAGAAATTCTTGAGAAACAAAGAAAAACGACATGAATAGAATCCAATTGCATGAAGGAACGATATACCTCCAATAGCAAAGACCCAATTTCATAGATCAAGTAGGCATCTGAAATCGACAAAGTGGACAAAGATTGCTCTTTTCCAACCAGCTGACGATGCAATCTTGATGGTACACATGGGAGCAAGGCATTCGACTAGCTTTCAACCCATCCAAAATCTCTTCTAAACAAATTACACACTGCCCTGTAAAAGTACCTTCAATTTTAACTTTCTCCAGTGCCTCAATCGCTCTCTTGCTTGCACCCCTCAGCCTGAAAACCTGCAAATTGAAGGATTCTGCAAAGCCCTCATTCTCATCAGAAAGTACTGTTTCCTCCTCTGATGGTCTTACGGGACAAAGAGTCACGATAATAGGAATGTTGTTGCGGTTCTCGTTGTGTGTTTCGTTCATTGCCGAGCGTGCACATTCAATGACCCTCTGCGTCACCGTTGCATGAAGGCTAAAGGGTACATTCATCTGCGAAAGCCTGCTGGATATAGCCGACCAGGATGTGCTGGCCTGTGTCAACTGATCCTGTGGCAACAAAAGCTGTTGCACAATGGTTGGTTCATGAGAAACAATGTTAGCAAGGATTTCAATAGAAAACACAGGGCAGAGTGATGAATCTTCCACTTGCATAAGAGCATGTTCATCTTCACCATCTTCAGCCTCAACCTGCCATGCTTCACATTGATAGTAACTCATTGTCCGTGGTAGAAAAAGCTGATGAAAAGATAAAGAAGACAAAAAATAGAGGAAAAACCTGATAAAAAAATAAAAAATATTTCCTTAATGGAACTTGATTTGTCAGATTTGCAATTCAACCAAAATATAGGGAAAGGGATGAGTGGCTTTAATGATTTTGATCTTGATTTGAATATCTTGTTGGTTGCGGATTATTTATGGGTGGTCCGCAAGGTAGATATAGTTACAAATTCCACAACAAACATTAGGAAAGAAGTGACTTGGAAGCTAAAAAATAGAAGCTATTAACTTGGTTAGCAGTTAAGACAGTTGAGGTTTCTAATTCACAAGTTATTTTCTTGATTAAGGATTGAAGGAAGCGACAATATTCCTAATATTGGTTGGAATTAAAAGTTACCATAAAGAAGGAGACATTTTTTTAAATGCTTTTATTTTCTATTTTCTTTGAAATTCTGATTTTTTTTTTTTATAAAAGTGGCATGAAATAAAGAAAAAAAATTATCGGTGATGAAATTTGAATTTAAGATTTATTAAAATATTATTATTAAAAGTGACTATATGAATTAATTAAGATAATCCTTATGTTCAATTCTAGTTTCATTATTGAAACCCATTATTCTATGTTTTAAAAAAGTTTGATTTTCCATTTGAGTAATTAGAATTTCTCTAACCAACTAAATAAAATAAAATTCATCCATAATTCGCACAAGCTAAATCTAAAACCATCGAAATTATCAAAAAGCCAAATACCAGGAAAAGAATTTTTGAAAGAAAGTAATGATAACAACCGAAATTATCAAAGAGACAAATGCGAGGAAAAATTTTGAAAATAGAAATGATTTATCCAAATTAGATCATATTATTTTTTTTTTAAAAGAAACTAACACCTTTTTTTGGTTTTCAAATTTGTTTTTTTTTTTTTTTATGTTGGTTTTCAAATTTATAAATACAAAACTAAATGGGAAATTGAAGATAATATATATTAGGTTTACAGATTGATGTAAGTGAAATACATTATCCTTTATTTATATTAATTATTCAACCATGAGGTGTATCCATCCTTAAACGCTCAAGACCTTAAAATCTGAATTAAAGTTTTGACATGCAAAATTTTGGAATTGGAATCCATAATCATTATGTTATAATATTGCAGGTAGCATGCGCGGTACTGTCATTTTCTTCTAATGTAAACAAGAGAAGAAGGTTTAGAGATTCCCTGTTCAAAGCAATGACTCAAAACAGGACATAACTCACAGTAGCAAGACAAAGAACCATCCTGATGCCAAAATTCCTATGATTCAAGAGGTAAACAAATGTTTGATTCACACGTACTACGAACTGGTTACTTTTTGATGAATCCATAGGCAATGTTGACTGCAGAACATAGTAAGGTTCAAAGAGCAGAGTGAGTTATAGCAGTTGTCTTCTTAAAATCAATTTTATCGATTTTAATCTTTCTATCAATATGCTTAATCAAATTAATAAAATATCATCATTTGATTCATTAATAATGTATTACAACATCAAATATAAACTCAAGTTTTATTGATAAAATATTGCTTATAACTAGATTTGATAATTTTAAATATGATTAATTGCATTAATGGAATGATAAAGTCTTTTTTTTTTTTAAAGGAGTGTATGTAGCAAATAGCAATCCCCTAATTAATAATAATTAAAAATAAACTTATCTAATTAATTTCATAATGCAAAATCCGTGATCAGTTGCATTATATTATGAAGCCTAGTTTTATAGATAGCTTATTCTTTCTATTGTTTAATTTAATTAATAATTATTGTAGACACTAAATTTATCTAAATTTTTGAGTTAGATCCAATTTTGATTTATTTGAGTCTAGGGCCTAATTTCATTTGTTGGGCTCGAGCCCACTGTTTTTTATTTTTTATTTCATTATTTAGTTTTATAATTAAATATTAAAACACAATAACATTAAATAATATGTCTAATTAATTAATTAATAAAAAATATTAAACCCTTAAAAAAAAGGGAAAGAAGACAGTGGTGCTATGCACGACACCACTACACTCAACCCATTCCTCTATAATCCTTGGCCACAACCTGAAACCCTGAGCCACCCATTCCCCTATAGTCTCTGGCCATAACTTGAACCTTCACTAGCCACAACCTACTCCACCCATTATTTCCAGGTTGTCGACTTTATAAAACACCCATTCTCCACCCAGCATCACTAGTCCCAACCTCCACACAGAAGCCTAGACATTCGCAATGCCCATACCTTCATCATCTTTAGTTGTTCCCAAAATTTTTGAAGACCCCCAGCACCCAACTTTCTCACCAGTCGCCTTGTCCAAGCCTTATGCACTCGCAGCCCGGCTCTAACCTCGAACACACCAAAATCAGCCACACCCACGCACTACCAGCCTTCACTGTAGCCCCTTGCAAGCACTCCAAACACCCAACAAAAACTTACCAGGCCACCCATCAGGAAACCAAAAAAGAAGACCTAGAAAAAACTCAAAAAAAAAAAAAAAAATCAATTACAGTCCTCCCCAAAGAAGGAACGTTAATGCCATAGCCCCCTGCATAAGGCCAAAATTTTGAAGCTTGATCTATGCCGATCGATGTGTTTTTTGATTGAAAAAAAGACAAATCCATGCTTAGAAGATTGGAACGAGTTTTCAAGGAATTTTTTGAAAAATTCATATCACTGATGATCATTCCAGTTAAACTGGTGTTGGCTGGTTTGATTCAGGTAAATTTTTTTTTATTTGTTTTTTATATATATTATTTTTAATTGTTATTATTAGTTAAACATGTTTAATTTTTTTGTTAGAATAAATGTTTAGTGTTTTTTTAATATTAATGATATTAGTAAGTAACCATAAACAATGATAAATAAAATCTAAATCTTGATAATTTTAAATTTCATTAAAAAAAACTTAAAATAAACCTTATAAAATTATACAACAATAATAACTAAGTGATAACAACAATAATAAGAATGAAAAATGATTTCAAATTTTTGATTTTTCTTCTTTAAATAATAAAACAAAATAAAATAATAATAAAGTAGAATAATAACAAAAAAATGCTAAAAAATAATATTATAAAGTGATACTTAAAATAAATTATAAATTTTTTTTCCCTATTAGATGATGGAGGGAATGAAAACTTTCCTTTAAAAATAATTTCGCCTAAATGCTAAGAAATTATTATTAAATAATTATAAAATAAAAAATAAAAAATAAATAGTTTCGCCTATATGTTGGAGAATTATTAAATGGTAATAAAAAGCAAATAGTTGGTAATAATAATAATGAATTTTTAAGAAAATACTCGAAAGAATTTTTTTTTGAAAATAAAAAAAATCAAATTTACTCTGAAAATTCGTCTAAATGTTGAAAATTTTTAAAGATGTTCATTTGCTTCTCGAAAGCCAAAATGCTTAAAACTCGAAACTCTAAAACTTAAAATCTTAAACTTTAAACCTTAAAATCCTCGAAACCTTAAAATTCAAAATCCAAAAATCAAAAACCTTAAAATCGACATGTAACCCAAAATTATCACCAAACTCTAAACATATATTTAAAACCATCTCGAAATTTTAAGGATATGTGTGAAAATCTCAAGTAAAGTAATTTGTTCTTGAATGCCACCTAGAGAATGGGGTATTTCGGAAACTTTATTTCATTAAGTTTTTTATGCGAGTCCTTAATTTGCATTAATAATGGGATTAAAATGAATAAATAAAAATATAAAATGAGATCTTAAATATAAATAGTCGCATTTAAACTCTACCTAGATGTTGAGAAGTCAAGATGGTCTCTTTATATTTAAAAACCTAGTTTCAAATTACATTTCATCACCTTGCATAACATTCATTGGCATACATATGTCATCATGTTATCGTTTGTACTCATTTCGTATGTCTATATCTTTAATTTGTATTTGCTACCCCTAGTACCATCATTTACTTTCTTGCATAAAATGTTTTTTTAAAAAAAAAGTACTTTAAAATTGTGAAATTATAAATAACATTCTAAAAAAAATAATTCTTGATAATTTGTCTACATATAAATAACAATCATTTTCTACAAAGAGTGTTATTTTCATTTTAAGGAACATTCTGTTAAATCTTAAGTGAAAAGAGTTATTTTAAATTCTGCCTAGATGTTGAAGAATTTTAAGATAATCCTTTAACTTAAGGATTTCTTTGATATTTTTAAATAAAGAGTTTTAGTAAAATTAATTTTTTAAAAAAATAAAATTTTTTTTTTAAATAAAGGAATTAGTATTAAATTTCAAGATCAAAACCATTTTATCCAACACCAAAAATAAAGTATGATTAATTGGTACAAATTTATGGGCATTATGGGAGTGCTAATTCTTTCTCATATGTAATCGACTTCCTAACCCAACCTGATTTTTGTAGACTAAAATTTATCTTTTTGATAAATTTTAAACCCGTTTTTAGAGTTTTATTAAAAAGATAAACTTTTGGATGGACAATCACACCCTAAAAAAGATTGATAGTGACTTTTTCTATTTTTCTTGAAATTAAAATCTTTTTGTTTAGCGGTCTCAAAACCATTAAGAGAGCTTGATGACTTCACTTGAGATTTTTTTTAGATTCAAGCAAAAAATTAATCATGTGTTATCCGAATTGTTGGATTTTACGATTTTAGTTGATATTTAATTTTAATTCCCTCTATTTTAATTCTTTCAGAAATAATAAAATAAAAAAAAAATATTGCATGTTAACATCTTACCTTGTTTTGTTATTCTTTTTTTCTTATGTTGTTAATTGATATATCTCTTTACACACTCCACAAATTCACTCGTATGCATGAGCTCTAAACCTAAGCTCTTTTCTTTTTTATGAGGAAGTAAAGTAGCTATGCTCTCGTGAGCTGATAATCTTCATTTTTGCTAGTGAAATATTTCCACTCAGATTGAACAATTTCTATCAGTAGCTTGTAATGGGCAAGGATTGGAGAACTTTATTAGTCTATAATAG